AAATAATATTTGGAATGAATTATGTAGATGCTTAATGAATGTTTGAGCACATTGACTTTTTATGGTAGAGTCAGGGAGGTAATTTTAAATCAGTTTGATTGTCTAATGCTAAATCTGTAAGTTTGTGTCTTCATGGACCATGTAGTATGGAATCCATTTTATTTTGTTTTACTATAATACTTTCAGTTATGTATTTATGCAAATGAATCTCTAATTGAGGCAGAAATTTAAATTTAGGGAATAGCAGAATAAATGAGGTCAGAGATCATTCTGATTTTCATGGATACTAATGTGTTCCTGTAGGGATATAATAGTGATTTTCTTTGTCATTAATATTACCAAAGAAAATGCATTGTGTAATGAGCGCACATAGGGAGGGATCTATGTCACATCTTTTTTTTCATGTCATGTCTTTGGTGTGCATGGAAAAGTGACAAAACTAAGACTAGAGAGGAAGCATGAAAAGTGTGTATCTTGTGTACAAAATCCTGAGGCAGCAGTCTGTTTTGAGTACAGTAGATGGCTTAGCACATTTTAAAATCATGTTAATTTGTGGTTATTTACTCCTATGTATTTTGATAAGTTGGGAACAATTTTGAAAGCCTCATCTCTGCCTTAAATGACAGAATCTCATTTCATTGTTTGGGAAAGTGCCTTGTTACAAAACTATTTTTAAGGATTGCTTGCAACTACATAGTGAGTTGGAAAGGAACTTCTATCAGATAAACTTCAATCTATTGTAAAGCTTTTCATCACTTACAAGTAGTTTTTATTTTAATGAAGCTTTTTCCGGTAATTTATATCTAAGTAAAATTAAGAGAAATGTGCCTTGGTATATTAGGATTCTGATTCTAGTGAGCTTTTTTTTTTTTTTTTTAATGTTGAATTTTAAATACGTTTGTGTGGAATCTTTAGCCTCAATTTTAGCAGCTGTTTTCTACTGAATCTGCTGTGTCACTGTCTAGTTAATAAATCACCAATATAGTTTATTTTAAAACTCAATTTCACAGAATTTGTGAGGTGTTTTTAATTTGACAATAATGATCTTTATTAGAAAGGGGATGATCTGATCTGGTTTAAAATCTTGAAACTGAGGGGTGTGTCCCTGTTATACTCCCCAGAATAACTTTTGCTGTATTTTCTTTTATAATGTATTTAACTATAAAATGGAACTGAACTTGCTTTTTTCCTTTGTGTATTTTGAGAACTGTTAAATGTATAATATTTCATATGATTATACTGAGCATCCATGTAAATAATTTTAAAAATAATTTAAAATGCATATGTTCAAAGCAATGTAATGTGCTTTTGCAATTAGAAAGGGCCAAAAAGACTTCTTGACCACAAGGTTAAGGCTTGAGTGTTGGAATAAACTAACTACAAGCAAAGTTGTGTAATCTCCATTCCTCAAATAACATCTTAAAATTGAATCACCAGTTACTAAAGAGCTGCCTTATTAAACTTTTATAAGTAAACATATCTGTTACTGTTCTTGAACATTAATCAGCTGTATATTTAAATAAGACCTATTTTCTTAACCACAATTTCAACTGGGTTGTTAGCATTAAGTGACTTGTTACATGTAAAGGAGGATAATAAAATGTACATAGTGTTCCTTTTTTTCCTACTTTAAGAAATAGTATTGTACACTTGTTGCTACAAGTGCCTTCTTTGATTTTTAGGTTTTTTGTTTTAATATTCTTAGTGAAAAATGAACCATACAAAAGAGGCTATTACTGTTACTTTCCTGTTTGCATTGAACTTGAAATTGTAGCAGTTACTGTTTGAAACATTTTTTAATCAAATAATGCAAAAAGATATACTCTGCCTTGTATGATCATGTGATGGTGGGTATAGTAATGTGAAGTGTTCCTGCAGTGCGGAGAGCAGTGGTCTCTTCTGTTAAAACTGCTTGTATATTTAGGGTTCTGTCTTAGCAATAGTGAAGCTTCTAACCTTAAGTATGTGAGGTGAACTCTAGTTGCAAAATAAGAAAGCTTAAGTATGTTTTCATAACCAAATAATGAGTATCAGTAGTTACTACCATGTGTATCATTATCTCCTAAATAGTTACTCAGTACAGGACATAAATCAAAAATCGTTTTACAAAAAAAAGATAGGGCCAGCCAGATAGCTCAGCAGATTAAGCACCTGCTTAGGTAGACACAGGGACACACTGAGTTCAGTCCTCACTATGCCTTGCTGGCCCCGCCCTGGGGGCACACTAAGATGGCAGTTGAGACTGGGTGTGGTGGTACACGCCTGTAATCCCAGCCCTTGGGAGGCTGAATACAGGAGGATCACTGAGTCAAATCTGTGGAGTGAGACCCTGTAGACCCTGTACTAAATACATAAAATAAAGATAATATTGTACACATTCTTTCTATGAACTTCTTTGTCTGCTTAAATGACAAATGTTTGTCATCAACCTGCTGTTTCTTCTACAGTGTAAATTTTACATGTCTGTTTTACTAATGTATAAAATTTATGAAACGTTTCTTTTTTTCCCCTTCCCTACTGAGATTGAACCCAGGGCCTCTGATATTTACTAGGAAGTTCTCTGCCTTTTGGCTGCATCTACAGCCCTTTTTATTTTTTTATTTTTATTTTTTAATTTTTTTCCCATAATTTTATTGATAAACAAATAGCAATGAGACAGTTTCAAATCAAATTGGTAGGACAGTTTCAATAATTAACACATCGCATACATTCCTCCCAGTGGTTAATTGCTGTACAAGATGTGGACATGATACACTATTTACAAAATTTATTAGAACAAATCCCTCCACAGCCCTTTTTAATTTTTTGTTATAAGACAGGGCCTTCCTGAGTCATCCACACTGGCCTCAAACTTGGGATCTTTCTTCTTTAGTCTCCTGAGTAGCTGATAAATAAAGAGAGTGACAGTTCAGATAAGAGAGATTCATCACAACCATATGACCAATGCATATGGGGGTCCTAGAAAAACATTCCTTTTGGGTTTAGAGGCTCTCAGAGCAATTTTAATGAGAAGTATTAGCAATAAAATCAGATTAGAGGGTTGAAGACAGTACATGAACTTAGATTTGTTAAGAATGAACAAGTAAGAAAATAAAAATCACAAAAAAAAACTATTCAAAAGGCTTAAATATAATTAAATCAACACATCATGGTTATGTTTTCTCTTATTTTTGTTATAAAACTTTTCTTAGTAAAAGTTAAAATTGTAACCAGGTGTGGAAGTGCATATCTTTAATCCTACCACTTCAGAGGCTGAGGCAGGAGGATTGCCTTGAGTTGGTCAGCTACATAGTGAGTTTAAGGCCAACCTGAAGGACATAGCAAGACCTTATTTCAAAAAAACAGACAAAAATAACAAAAACAAAACAAAAAATTAAAAATTCTGAGCTGTGTTTGGTGATACTTACCTGTAATGCCAGCACTCTGTGCAGCTGAAATAGGGGACTGGTCAGATTGAGGTCAGCCTAGACGAGTTAGCTCGACCCCTCAAAAGGTAAATATTAGGACTGTAGCCTGGTACAAAGGCTCTGTTTCTGTGTTCACTTCCTAGAATAGAAAAAGAAAAAAAAAAAGCACAACAGCAACCAGAGAGTTAAAACTCTAATGTTAAAGCTGGATGATTAGGTATTTTTAATCCTTTCATGTTATTTTATAAATCACATTTTCTACTTAAAACTCACTGACCTGTAGTTACTAAGAATCTGAGCACCCTAATGTAGCACACAGCACTTAGAATTTTCCTCGTTCTTTTCTGGCCTCATCTCTCACAACTATCTGGGATTTTACCTTTATCCAGCAATACTAGGAAGATCAAAAATGATAGTCAGTTCAAGCCTTTCTATATTTATATTTGGTGTTACTTCAGCCTTGCATGCTTCCCTGCCCCATACTTAAGGCTTCTCATCTTTCAAGGCTTCTATGCATTGTTTGCTAATCCCTACCCATACTAATAATCTTCTCTGTTACTATTTTACTTGTGTTGTTTCAGTCACATAATGTAATAGAATTATTACTATCTGACCTCTTACTGTAGCTTCTTGAAAAGAGTCACCATATCTTTATATTGCTGCACTGAACACAGTACCTGGTACCTAGTACTGTTTAATGATGATGAATGGAGACAGGTCCTCAGAAGTAGTAAGTATATTGTCTATAGCCACAGCGCTTGAAGTAGAAGTTTTATTTTCTTGATAAATTTCCTGTGTATTTTACTTGAGGTAACTATTGTTAGCCTTTGTAGCATGTTAAGCATATATATGAGAGATCAATATGTGTATGAGATTTTTGTATTTAGAAGACATATAAGAGCTTCTAAAAACTCTAAGTATATTAATGAAATCCACTTATTCTCAGGAGTATGATGTATCTGCAGTGTAAAGTGTATCAAAATCCATTTATTTGAAATTAAAGGAGCCAGCCAAATAGCTCAGCAGATTAAAGCACCTGCTTAGGCAGATGCAGGGGTCAGAGGTTCCATCCCTGGCATGCAGTACCAGCCCTGTCCACCCCCTCCTTGTGCACCGAGATGGAGATTGAGAGTGGGTGTGGTGGTGCGCACCTGTAACCCTAGCTCTTTTGGTAGGCTAAACACAGGTGGATCACTACGAGTCCTATCTATGTTGTGAGACCATATAGTCCCTGTAGACCTTTACTAAAATACAAAAAAAAAAAAAAAAAAAAAAGAATTTAAAAAGGCAAAACTAAACTAGTCTCTGAAATCTAAAAATTGAACTACATAATGTTATAGGCATTAATATAGTACACAGTACTGGAATTTAGATGTTATATTTTAACATGTCTTTTGGTTATCTTTATATAGTGTATAAAAGCAAATATATTTATATTTTAAAGATGACGAGCATATGTAAAATTAGCAGACTTTATATGTACTTTATGTACTACACCCTCAGGCAAATTACATGTGATTTTATTTTACATTAGTAAGCAATTTTGAAAACTTAAAACACTTTCTAACTTATCTTTTCCATTTCAACTGCTAGAGCTGGACTGGCCATTATGGAGGACGACCTGCAGCATTCACACTGTGTGAATTGTGTCAGTAGACGATGTATGACCAGACCAGAGCCTGGCATTTCCTGTGACTTGATTGGTTGTCCATTGGTTTGTGGAGCAGTTTTCCATTCTTGTAAAGCTGAAGAGCATCGGCTTTTATGTCCATTTGAACGTGTCTCTTGCTTAAATAGTGACTTTGGATGTCCATTTACCATGGCTCGAAATAAAGTTGCTGAACATCTACAAACGTGTCCCGCAAGTGTGGTATGCTGTACTATGGAATGGAATCGATGGCCAGTGAGTTATGCAGACCGGAAATCATATGAAAATCTAAGCAGAGATGTTGATGAAGTGGCACAATTAGATATGGCATTGGCCCTTCAAGACCAGAGGATGCTCTTAGAATCTCTCAAAGTTGCCACTATGATGTCAAAAGCAACGGATAAAGTATCTGAAGCTAGAGAACAAATACCAGTTAAATCAAGTGTCCCTGAAATACCACATAGTAATGGTTTGGTGTCTGTTGATGAAGAATCTTATGGTGCACTTTATCAAGCTACTGTAGAAACAACCAAAAGTTTGGCTGCAGCTTTAGATATCCTGACTACTGCCACTAGAGATATTAAGATGTTAAATGCAAGTCTTTGTGGTACCCCAGATGAAATAGATGAGGAGAAACATGCCAGAGAAAGCTTACAGGATAGCAGCTTAAAAAGCCAGGCCCATCTTTATGAGGGTGAGATGGGGGCAGTAGGTGGAATTGACCATAATAGCACAAGTCAGAATGCCCAGTTTGAACAAAATGGTTCCAGTGATTTATTGTATGACTTGAATACAAATTCGTATGCCACTTCTGCTCTTTGTAATGGTTTTTCTTTGGAAAATACATGTCCACAGGTTAAAGACCAAGATCAACACAGTAACTTAACAAATGGAGAATGTGTGGCATCAGATGGTACTTCAGAACCTTCCAGTTCACTTTCATTAGCAGCACAGCTTAGGGAAGTAATGCCATCCAGTGCTTTGCCTAATGGCACAGTTCAGCATATCCTCATGCCAGATGGTGAAGATGAAGGAGAACTGTGCTGGAGAAAAGTAGACTTAGGGGACTTGAGAAATGTGGATGTCTTATCTTTCAGTCACACTCCTTCATTCAAATTTCTTTCTAATTCATGTTGGTCCAAAGCAAAGGAAGATAAAGCAGTAGATACGTCAGACTTGGAAGTGGTGGAGGATCCCATGGGCCTCCATGGGATAGACCTGATTACAGCAGCCTTACTGTTTTGTTTAGGAGATTCTCCAGGTGGGAGGGGCATATCTGATAGTCGCATGGTTGATGTGTATCACATTGACTTTGGGACACAGACTTTTTCACTTCCATCTGCAATATTAGCTACAAATACAATGGTTGGAGAAATAGCTTCTGCTTCAGCTTGTGATCACGCCAATCCGCAGCTTTCAAATCCAAGTCCTTTTCAGACACTTGGGCTGGATTTAGTATTGGAATGTGTTGCTAGGTACCAACCTAAGCAGCGTTCAATGTTTACCTTTGTGTGTGGACAGTTATTTAGAAGAAAAGAATTTTCTTCACATTTTAAGAATGTGCATGGTGACATTCATGCTGGACTCAATGGCTGGATGGAACAGAGGTGTCCTCTAGCTTATTATGGTTGTACCTATTCTCAGCGAAGATTTTGTCCATCAACACAAGGAGCAAAAATTATACATGACCGCCAGTTGAGGTCATTTGGAGTTCAGCCCTGTGTATCTACAGTATTAGTAGAACCTGCTAGAAACTGTATGTTGGGATTACACAGTGACCATCTGAGCAGTCTTCCTTTTGAGGTCCTACAACATATTGCAGGTTTTCTTGATGGCTTCAGTTTGTGCCAGCTCTCTTGTGTATCCAGATTAATGAGGGATGTGTGTGGCAGTCTACTTCAGTCTCGTGGAATGGTCATTCTGCAGTGGGGGAAAAAGAAGTATCCAGAAGGAAATTCATCATGGCAGATAAAGGAAAAGGTTAGTTTCATCTTGACTATATCAGTCTTATTAGATATCTACTAGGTATGTTGAATTAATAGTTAATGTTTTGTTAAAAATTGAGCATCTCCAAAATTAAGAAAATATGATAAATATATATTAAAATGATAATTAATGAACTAGAATATTTAGAATTGTTATGACTAAGGACTTAGTATAGATTTTCTAGATATAGATTATAATCTAATATGGCAAAGGCCACTTCTTTTTCTTCAAATATCAGTTCTTTTTTTTTAAAGGTTTTATTTTGTATTTTATTTATTTTATTTTATTATTTATTTTTTCCCATAATTTTATTGAGAAACAAATAGCAATGAGACAGTTTTAAATCAAATTGGTAGGACAGTTTCAATAATTAACACATTGCATACATTTGTCCTAGTGGTTAATTGCTGTACAAGATGCGGATATGATATCCTATTTACAAACACCATTAGAACAAATCCTTCTATTCATTAAGAGAATGTAACTATATATCTATCCTAACCACTTTGAATACACAGATACAAAATGGACATTCATCTGTAAACCCTTTTTTTGTTAGGTTCCGTTATTTGAATATTATAGGTGTAAACTCAGCAAAATATTCTAAAAGAGTCCCGTAGCCCATTATAGTATTGGGACTTCTGCTTGACTGGCGATGTCAGAAATTGTTGACCTGAGTCCCCTACAGCTCAACAGAACAGCATGACTTTACTTCTATTTTGTTTTTATACTTTTCTGCTGGATGGTTAAGACCAAAGTAAAGCAGGATCTATGCAACAAGAGTTGTAGCTTTTCGGTCTGATAAGGTCAGTGAAATCCCCTTACGATTTATTACCATCCTGTACCTCAGATTGTAGAACGTTTGTCCGTGTCAGCCATGGGGATGAGTCTTGGCCATTGCCTGGCCATTGTGCTCTCTTGAAAGCCTGAGAGAATGTTTTCTGTCCATGTGACTCTTCTTAGGCACCCTCTACATCATTGATCACTTTCCTCTTTGGCCCCATAATCTCCTTGATCAGAAAATTTGGGACACTACTGAGTTACATGACGTTACAGTACAAGTTCTCATATGTCCTGAGTCTTAATTGACCTTGGAAGGCTAGAGCCAAAATGTTGGCTTTCCTTGCAGCCCTCCTTTTTCTTTAATTTTGGTCTGTAAACTTAGGTCATTAACCATCCAGAAGGCAAGCTTCTTGTTATTACCATACAACTTAGGCTGTTAAGCTTAACCTCACTATCTGTCTGCATATCAAACATCGTAGGCATAACATGGAACAGGTATTTTTCATCACGTATTGATATGTTGAACTTTAAGTCCCTACAGATTATGATAAAAAAAACATTTAAAAATTAGAATATATTTTAAAAATAGGCGTAAAAATTATATACTTCTTATCTTTACACATAAGTCCAAAAATCTAACCATATACAACCTTGAAGCAGGACAGTCCCGCAATACTCCTTTTCCTGCAAATGATCAGTTCTATACTTTAGTTCTATGGTAACAGCTTTGAGACCATGTTGCCTAACTTATGTTCCACTTGAAGCAGGTTCACCATAAAACAATGGAGGAAACAGGGAGAATTTGTTCTTAGAGTTACCAGTGTCCACTCTTAACAGTTTCTTTTTTAGAACTTGGTTGTTTCATATAGAACATAAAGAGAAATTTTAAAAAGTTGCAGCTATAGTCATATTAGTAAATGGCCAAAGGATTATTAGGTTGCCCAGCACATAAATGAATGGACAAGGGACTGACTTAAGAGTAGGGCAGTAGAAATTGATATTGTAGGTAGAGACTCTTAGGTCTAGTCCAGACTCAAAAGTGATGCATATTGGAAACCTGCGCTGGTCTGGCTTCTTTGATATTCTTTTGTTCTCTAGCTTTTATTGCAGGTACCATCCAGTGGGAACTAGGAAGCAGTACAGATATCTGTAATTGAAGGTGATTTTTAATTTTAAAATTTTATTTATTTGATACAGGGTCTCGCTACACAGTTTAGACTGTAGTGATCCTCCTGTCTCAGCATTCCCAGTGCTCGGATTATAAGCATGTGCCACCATGCTGAGTTTTGGGGCCGGCACAATACACCTGGAGTTCTGGGCCCACCATAATGTGGTATCGAGGATCAAACCCGGGTCCTTGTGCATTCCAGGCAGGCACTTATATCACCAAAGTATCCCAGCACTTCAAACATTCATAATAAAAAATATTACATTTTATAGGGTAGAAACAATTTTGTTAAACTTCTCATTTGGTTATAGTGTTCAAATTTCTGGTTACTTTTTTCTTGCTCCTTTTAGATCTTACAACTTCATTTTATCAGAATTATGCATCTGCTTTTCTATTTTTGTGAAGCTTTGACCACTGAAAGAACACAAATTATTTTGATTTTTTTTTCCCCTAAAAGGAATTTTCTGATAGAAAATTTTACCAGCTATGTATTTTTTCATTTTTCAGATGATTTGGTGTCTGTCTCCTTTGAGATCGGACATCCTATATATGACCTCTTTTTGTCCTTATCCATAGTATTAACATGTAGGGTGAAATATTTTCTTTCATAGATAACATCTGGTCTTCCAAGTTTCAATTGCTGTCATTTACACAGATTACTCACACATCTATAAACTGACCGTTTTTGCTACTAAACTCAAGACCACTACAAGGTGCAATCAAAGTATATGGGGAGTGTTTGTGTCTTTATAAGGTATGATCAAAAATGTGGTAAATGTTGCTGCTAAGTGCCATTGGATAAAAAGACAGGGTTGTAAAAGTATCACTTTGTCCTTGTCTGCCATATTCATCAGATGGACCTTATTCACCATATCTAGCACTGTATACTTCTGGCTCTTGTCCAAGGTCAAATGATTAAAAGGTTAATGCTTTGAATTGATTTAGGACATCAAGGTAGCTATGACAGCACAACTAAAGACACTTAGGAAACACAACTTCCAGCACTGCTTCAGAAAGGGACAAGAGCATTGAGAAAAATTTTCAAAGCAAGGGAGAGTATTTTGAGGAGGATAAATGACAGTGCATCTTTTACTGTAAAAATTCAAAATAGTCACCATAGTTTTTGATCATACTTTGTATACACAAGCATCATGCCACCCAGGAAGTCATTACCATTCTTTTTTTTTTTTTTGGAACTGGGGATTGAACTCAGGCCCTTGCATTTGCCAGGGAAGTGCTTATTCCACTGAGCCATCTCCCCAGCCCCTTTTACCATTCTTTCTTGAGAAATGGTAATGTATGATGAAGTCTTGTCCAAAATACTGCTTTCTAGAGTACTGCTATTTAACCATGTCTAGTCAGCCCTCTATGTCTGTGGGTTCTGTGTCTGGATTCAGCCAACTGTGGATCAAAAATACGTGAAAAAAATTGTGTCTGTATTGAACATGTACATGCAGACTTTTTTGGTCATTGTATAAGCAATACAGTGTAACATCTTGCCATTTGCTTTGTATTAAATAAGTAATCTAGGGACAATTTAAAAGTTTGTGGGTAGTTACACAGGTTCTCTGCAAATACTATGTCATTTTGCACAGGGGCTTAAGTGTCACAGAATTTCATGTCCTCAGGGCATTCTGAGGCCAGCCCCCACATACACCAAGAGACAGTTATATTCTTCTCTATTTGACTGTTGATGGACTTAGCCAGGATACTTAGGCCTGTCCTGCCCTGTCCATGCTTTCTTTCCTGTGTCTCCCCTGAGCTGCATTCACGCATCTTATGTTCATTAGCTTCATGTTTTTTATTGTAAAAATGAGAGGACACGGTGATCATCGCTTACCTTGTACGGTGATAGTGCCTTCAGGTCCTGAAGCTTCTGCCTGGGTAAGAAAGAAAATCAGGCCATATTTTTACCAGTGGACACATGAACAGGGTGGTGGGTGAATATGCCTACAAATGCATAAAATAGGACGTGTTGAAACATGAGAATGCCTGTATTTTAAGTATTGCTGGTACCTTTACTATGTGTGAAAAGTGCAAAGATAAGTTACCTTTTATCACATAGTAGTAGGATAGGATATTTTTAAAACATTTTGTATGATGTAATAGGAATGAGACAAAAACCTGGTGAAAAAGACAATGTATCTTTTTCACAGGTATTATCTCCAAACTATGGATAGTTCTCAGTAAGCCATTTGGACAGGAGGAAAGAATAGTATGCAGTATGAAGAAGTGGCTCTGAATTCCTGAAGTTATGATTTTTAAAAAATCGTTCAATAAGTTAGGTTTGCTATGATTTTTAATGTTGAAATGTTTTTTCTCTTAGCTGTTTGTTGAAGTCATTGTTTCACAGAAGTGAGTTGGCTTATAAATATTTGCTTATAAATATTTGACAAACAGATTTATGTCTGAATGGATCTTTTCAATTGTATAGCTCACCACTTGAAACAATATTGGGTGTTTCTGTAGCAATAGAAATATGTGCAGTTAGAGCAAGAAGTGCATTTTGATTCTGTAAGTTGACTTATTTAAATCTGATGTAGAATTTTCTTCCAGGTATGGCGATTCAGTACTGCATTTTGTTCTGTTAATGAATGGAAATTTGCTGACATCTTAAGCATGGCGGACCACTTGAAGAAATGCAGTTACAATATTGTTGAGAGACGGGAGGAAGCCATCCCATTGCCATGTATGTGTGTGACTCGAGAACTCACTAAAGAAGGACGTTCGCTACGCTCAGTTTTAAAACCTGTACTTTAAAAACTGTAACTTGTAGATACATGGCAAGCACCTGTTATAATTTCTTTGTAATATGTGACACTTTATTAATATATTAAAGATTACAACTAGTTGAATTTATTGTCACTGTGTATATATAATGTTTTGAAGTGACATATATTTTTATAAAGTATTGTTTAGTTGGAAAAAAGTTGCCTTAATGTTTGAAATGTGTGAGATTTTTGAAACTTGCTGGACAGGGTGACAATCTTTAGCTATGACTTTCAGAATTAGTATTTTTGATGGTGTGCATATTTTGTTTTTGAAATTTTTCTTCTTAAAATTAACAAGGTCCTGACCAAACAATTTATTCCTCATGTTTCCTGTGAGTTGAAGCCCATGCAATCAAAATGAAAAACTTAGAATCAAATTTTGGCAGCATAGGTTTTCCAGATAAACATTTTCAGCTACATAAATACTGCCATAAGATCATTATAAAGCATTCCCTTTTTGTGCATATGTGATCCCCAGTATATGAAGAATGATTAAAAACAGGGTGAATATTTAAATTAAAAACATTTATTAAGGTAAAATTATACATTGCCATTATTGCTCCCTTTTGGATCCAACCTGTCTTTAGTTGGGCTGTTATGAGTGCCTAAACTAGTTCAAAATGTTTACCTTTTGTGGTAATTTTGACTTCTGAGAAGAACCAGATGTTACATGCTGTCAGATCTGGTGAGTAAGGTAGGGATGCAGTGAAGTGTAGTTTTTACGATCTTGCCTTTCTGTTGGGTGGCAGTGCAGCATTCACTGTATATTTTGATCACCCTTTTAAATTCACAAAAGAGAACTTGTTGAACTGCTTCAGAAATTGGCAAGAATGATGAGATAAGTATGTTGGAAGCAAGGGGGATTAATGTCAATGTGCCTTTTTTTTTTGTGGTAGCAGGAATTGAACTCGACCCTGCACTTGCCAGGTAGGTGCTTATTCTACTGAGCTATCTCCCTGGCCCCTTTATAATGATCTTTAAAAACTTAAGCATTCATTATATAGTTTGATCACCCCATATGAAATATTTGTATCACAGTATTTAAAATCACATGTAATGTTTGGTAATGCCCTTCAAGATGTTTTAAAAATAATTTACAAAGATATGTTCATCATATGTTCTTGCAACTCTTATACAGAGTGACTTTTTTTTTAATTAGATGCTGGATCTAAAGACTTGGCAGTGTTTTACCTGAGAGGTAAAAGCAAAACAAAAAGCAAGCGTGTTAATTTAACTTGAAATAATTCATGGTACTATATACTTGCTATCTATTTAATGTTTGATAACTAAATATACCTCATTTTATGTTTCAATTTGGCATATTGTATGAGTTTCAAATATTCAGAATGTGGAAGGTCTTAACTTTTTCATAAGCATTTAAAAATATGCCTTTTGATGTTTATAAAAAATACAACTGTATTAAGACATTTAAAAAAGTTGCATTTCATGTCTTTTATGTAAGGTAACAATTGAACAGAAACCTGCCTTGATTGACAATCTCTTCAAAATGTTTTCAAGTTAATTTCCCATACACATCTGTACTAGAAAGCAAGAATTGTATCTTTATACAAAGAACAATGTATGATAAGGCAGTATTCAAAGTCCTATTCTTTTTATTCATATTTAGTACAGGGTTTACAGTGTCTCACTGAACAGATCAGACTCATAGTGATCTTCCTATTTTGAGCCTCCCAAGTGCTGGGATTATCGGCACTTATCACCATGCCCAGTCTCAGTCACCATCTCTGCGAACCCCAGGGGCAGGCCCGGCACAGCATGGGAATTGAATCCCGGTCCCCTGCACTTGCCTAAGCAGGTGCTGTAGTCCGCTGAGCTATCTGGGCCAGCCCTAAAATCCTGTTCTTGAAGTATTATATTGTTGTTTTTAAATTGATTTGTTCTGTTATGAGGTTGATGTGGTCACCTTAAAAAGGAGTATATATGCTTTATCAGTATTTAAAAATAAATTGCAAAGATGGGAACATATATTTAAATAATTTTTCTTCAGTGAATTTTGGCATTTCATAAGCTGAAATAGCTACAAACTACCTTGTTAAACATGGCAAAACTCATTGTATCCTTATATTTGTCCTTGAGTGTGCTTTATGGTTACTGATTCATGATTCCCATATATGACAGTCAGGCTGGTTAGAGGTGTTCCCTTAGGCATTTGAGATTTCTTAACTGCTTAAGTTTTGCCTTAAATCAACTAATCAGATGTTTTGTTTCACCTGTCATTTTAATTAGTAAAATACTTAGATCTCAGTGCTTAACTTGCTTTTCAACTGTAGGATGGAATTGTATAAAAAAAAATCTGTTTCTGTGAAAAGAAAAACCCCTAAAAATAAGGTATATCAAGTACTGTAAAATATAACTCCACCTTTTAAAGTTTTGCTGAAGAATGTCTTTATGATTAGGATACCACTACCATTAACTTTTTACTTTATCTTTGTGCTTTATTAAACCCATAATTTTTAAGCTTAGCTTGTTTCTACACTGGATCATGAGATATGTAACATTTTTCCACCTTATTTTTCTTTTGCACATCTTTTGCCATTCATTTTTGTTTGTTATGACACCATACTATTTTGTTAAAGTGTTTTCTTTGTGCAACATTTGTTCAAGTTCTAATAAAAGTGTTTCCCATTATATGGCTCATTAGCGTTAAAAACTTTCATTTAAATAAAACTTTAGCTCTTTTTTGACAAATTCCACACACAATTACATGTTTTTGTAATGTTGATCTTTGTATGTTTTAGAGATTGCCGTTTGATTACCTTGCCAACTAAAGTTTTACTGATAACATGAATTTTTTAAATGCAGTATGTATAAAAACTTAGCTTTCTTGCCCCTTCCATCTCTTGAAAGTAGTCCTGTCTAGGTTATTGAAAGGCTGAAGAGTTTCTGGCATGATTATTTCTCTAAAACTTGTTATAGCATCTTTAGCATGAAAAAGTTTGTATGGTGACCTAGTAGATTGTCATTTGAGAAGTGTTTGTTGATTGATTTTGCTAAGCAGCAACCTGAAGAGTAAGCATGGCGAGGAAGGAAATTACCTGAATTCCCTTTATTTTCTGCCTCTTTCCCTAGTCATTTAGTCTCCCTTCCTCTCTGCCTCCCCTTTTGAGACTTGCATATCATTTAAGGTGAGAACAAGCAGTTTGTTTTAAGAAGAGATGCATAATGAAATGTGAGATCTTAGAGGAAGTCGGGGCCATGCTGGCTGTAGATCTATCCTCTAACGTGTTAGTGAAATGGATATATGTGTGTGTGTGTACATGTGTAATCCACAATTAAGAGTGATGGTAATTTATTAATATTGATGGTTATACATGTTGTCTATATCTTACAGGCATATGACAGTACATAGGGTACTGTGATTGTTACTTTTGAAAACTTAATATTTAGTACTATTTTAATTTCATTAGTGTTTTATTAGTGTTCTATTGAAGGGTAGTAATAATGCAAAGTTCATTAGCACTCGTGTTTAAGCCTGCTTATCACATTCTCTTTAGTGGTTGCACTTGTGTGAACATACTAGATTTATAATAAAAGGAAAGAGTAGAAGTAAAGAAATACTGGATTAAATCTCACAAAAAATACTTATAGGGATACTTTTGACTGTTGTAAGACATTAGATCTGATTTCTGGTTTGTCAGTAGTAGAGAATTTGTTTTGGTCTTTGAGCTGCATGTCCCATAAATGTTGCTATTCTTGTCGGTCCTTTAACATTGAATAGTAGGATCTTAGTAATGTTGAAGATAATGAGGTTTTCAACAAACTTCCATATATTTTGAAAATGTACTTTTTTTTTTTATTATTATATTGGTAAGATTTACTTTTGGATTTTTAAATATTTGAAACGAAACAGAGTCCAACCGAAAATGATAGGAGGTTTATTATTGTTTCCTGAGCCAGAGTTACTCAAGTATTAAAAAAAAAAAAAGTTTCATGCATAGCACAACACATTGGGGAATGATGTGATTGGAACCTGCAGAGTTGGCTAGAAGTGCAGTAGAAGGAAAACAGTCCCCCTCTGAACAAAATCTTTTGATGAATAGTTTTTCTGATAGGTATTTGGCTGGTTATCCAAAAGTTCCTTCAGTGGTCTTATTTGACATGTTCACGAGGCCTAGGGATCCAGAGCATATTATTTGTACCTTTAAGTTCCATTGTGTTATTGATGGCATTTGTTATAATTTATCTGTCTATTTTGAAAAAATACTATGAATTGAATAAAGGCCTATTCAAGTGAGGTCCTTTCTAAATAGCTATGAGAAAGGAAAGATGGTTTCTTTTTGAAAACACCTTTTACACACTTACTTCATTATTGACAATGGTCATTTTTCCCTTTTTGTAGGTGTAGAAAAGAGAAGTTATATTTAGATGAAATGAAATTACTTTTGTAAAGAATACTTCAAATTACATGTGGTTGCTCCCAAATATTACTGAAAACATATTTAGGGCATTACGAAAAGGAAGCAGAGACCAATGAAGTGTGTTTTGTTGCTCTGAAAAATCTTTTGCTAGGCATTGTACTATATAAAAAAAAATTCTGTTGCATATGTGACTGAAGAAATTCATTATTCATACATAAATTTGGCATACATAATCTTCATAGTTGGCCATACATCTTGAGGTATATTAATGAATATATCTTAGTTACCTTAGTACACTTGACAACTGTTAGTGCATTTTACAACTGATATTTTATATTCAGATTTTGATATTCTGATGTATTTTATAGAGTAACTTTTTAATAAAGTACAAATAAAAGAGTTATAAGGAAGATTCATGAACATGCTCTGTAGAAGTACGGTAAAAATTCATTGATGCTCTTACATGCTGGATTTAAACTTCTTTACTAACGTGAAGCAAAAAGCTTTTCTGAAGCAAACTGACAGGAGCAGTGTGTGATTTTTTTTTTCAGTAATGCGAAATTCTGAGTGTCTCAAAAATCACTAGTAGCCTATTCACATAGACACATAATGGGAAATAATTTTTTTACACGTGCCCATTTGTAGTGATTGATAACAGTAGTAGTTTGTGGATTTGAAAATAATGAAGTGGAATTTCTGTTGAATTCTTGGAATCAAATTCATCATCAAATTCCTTTCCCAACAAAGATGAGTTCATCAGGTTTAATATTTTATCTATTCAGATATAAATCATTAGATTTCTTTTTCTCAGACAGGGTCCTTGAACATAGTAAATAGCTTGATAAATACATTTGGTCTCTTGCAGAGGAACTAACTGGAGTCGGTAGCATCCTACACTCCTATTTATATTCAAAGGGTAACATTGTTTAAGTTTAGTTATAAGGACTGATTATAGACAAGTAGCAGTAATCTGTTCACAAGATTGAAGATGAAAGAGGGAAGTCCTTCCCTCTGCTGTCCTAGAATATTCTTCCTGTTGAAATCTGTTTCGTATTGTCATTATTGCCTGTGTATATTATGACTTCATTTTTCTGATGTGATCAAAAAACCTAAGTTAGGGGCCAGGGAGATAGCTCAGTAAGGGCCTGAGTTCAATCCCCACTTCTGAAAAACAAAACAAAACAAAACAAGCAAACCTAGGTTAAATATATATCATTTTAAAATCTTGCTTTGATAACCAACCTAATCTTAATGATTTGGGTCAGTTTTAAAATCTAAGAACTGTGTTTGTCTACCTTCTATAAAGTCCCTTTGAGCTCACCAGTGAAAAAACAACCAACCTTGTAGTTTAAAAAATTTAAAACATAGTTGAATCCTCAGTAGTTTAACAATTGCTTAATTAAAATAAATAGAGGAGCTGCAGAGATATCTCAGTGGTCTAAGAACCTGCCTCAGCAAGCACAGGGACCCATGTTCAATCCCTGGTACCGCATGCTGTGCCAGCCCTATCCCAAGCACGGTGAGCCAGCTACCAAGACCAGGTGTGGTGGTGCACGCTTATATTCCCAGAGCTGGGGAGGCTGAAACCAGAGAATTACTATGAATACAAGCTGCATAGTGAGACCAAGTACCAAATACATAAAATAAAAAATAGCACTTAATATTGAGTACTATATCTGTTTTGAGAGTAAAATTATCCAGTGAATAGCTATGTCAAGTGGATGACTTAAGTAATGACTTAATACTTAACTATTAATAAAATAAGGAATT